CTCAACTCTGAAGATAAACACCTTACTCGCCTTGTACTGAAGGTACATTTTGTAAACACCTTACTCGCCTCGTACTGAAGATAAACACCTTACTCGCCTTGTACTGAAGATACACACCTTACTCGCCTCATACTGAAGATAAACACCTTACTCGCCTTGTACTGAAGATAAACACCTTACTCGCCTCGTACTGAAGATAAACACCTTACTCGCCTTGTACTGAAGATAAACACCTTACTCGCCTCGTACTGAAGATAAACACCTTACTCGCCTTGTACTGAAGATACACACCTTACTCGCCTCGTACTGAAGATAAACACCTTACTCGCCTTGTACTGAAGATAAACACCTTACTCGCCTCGTACTGAAGATAAACACCTTACTCGCCTTGTACTGAAGATAAACACCTTACTCGCCTCGTACTGAAGATAAACACCTTACTCGCCTTGTACTGAAGATAAACACCTTACTCGCCTCGTACTGAAGATAAACACCTTACTCGCCTTGTACTGAAGATACACACCTTACTCGCCTCGTACTGACGATAAACACCTTACTCGCCTTGTACTGAAGATAAACACCTTACTCGCCTCGTACTGAAGATAAACACCTTACTCGCCTCGTACTGAAGATAAACACCTTACTCGCCTTGTACTTAAGCTGAACTCCTTACTGAAGCTGAATACCTCACTCGCCTCGACTCTGAAGATAAACACCTTACTCGCCTTGTACTGAAGGTAAACAGCTTACTCGCCTCGTACTGAAGCTGAACTCCTTACTGAAGCTAAATACCTCACTCGCCTCGTACTGAAGCTATACTCTTTACTGAAGCTGAACTCCTTACTCGCCTCGTATTGAAACTAAACACCTTACTCGCCTCGCACTGAAGCTGAACTCCTTACTGAAGCTTAACCCCTTACTCGCTTCGCACTGAAGTTGAACTCCTTACTGAAGCCGAACTTCTTACTGAAGCTGAACTCCTTACTCGCCTCGTACTGAAACTAAACACCTTACTCGCCTCGTACTGAAACTAAACACCTTACTCGCCTCGCACTGAAGCTGAACTCCTTACTGAAGCTAAACCCCTTACTCGCCTCGTACTGAAACTAAACACATTACTCGCCTCTTACTGAAACTAAACACCTTACTCGCCTCGTACTGAAGCTGAACTCCTTGTTCGCCTCTTACTATTGTAAGGGTCCTCTGATTGATATACTGATATGTCCCATATCAACATTAACATTTACAAAAATTATCCTCCATTATGTTAGTCGAGTTGTTTCCCTTTGTATAGTGAATGACTTGAAAAAACAGTGTTAATGCCACACTTGCTGAAATTATTAATAAGCTCTTTTTAACAGATATTTTCATCTGATGCCTGTTACTTTTGTAATGTGAAAATACTTTATTTTGTTTATAATATAGTGAACAAAATGAAAGCAATGACATTAAGATAAATTAATTAGAGTTTAAAAAGTTCGTTACGTTTTTTCGCAAAGTGTACATCGGCATTACTTAAACACTTTCACAGGTAGAACAAATATTCATGTAATAGGTTTAGTAATACGGGAACATATTGTTTGGTGAAGTACATAAATCCTTTTTACTTTCTTTTCTCAATACTATATCTAGGTTTATCTAGTTAAATACTGTCATGAAAGGTGTTCTTATTTTATACTTAAATGAAATTCGTTCTTGTTCAATACTTTATAAAGCTTTTCCTTAAATACTGTTTAAAAAGTTTTTTAAGTTGAATAATATCATTTAAGTAGTTCTTGTTAAATACGATTATAAGTATTGTTGTTGTTAGAAACTATCATGTACGTTGTTCTTGTTTAATATGATCAAGAAAGTTGTTCTAGATTAATACTATCATGTACGTTGTTCTTGTTTAATATGATCAAGAAAGTTGTTCTAGATTAATACTATCATGAACGCTGTTCTTATAAAATACCATCAAGAAAGTTGTTCTAGATTAATACTATCATGAACGCTGTTCTTATAAAATACCATCAAGAAAGTTGTTCTAGATTAATACTATCATGAACGCTGTTCTTATAAAATACCATCAAGAAAGTTGTTCTAGATTAATACTATCATGAACGCTGTTCTTATAAAATACCATCAAGAAAGTTGTTCTAGATTAATACTATCATGAACGCTGTTCTTATAAAATACCATCAAGAAAGTTGTTCTAGATTAATACTATCATGAACGCTGTTCTTATAAAATACTACCAAGAAAGTTGTTCTAGATTAATACTATCATGAACGCTGTTCTTATAAAATACTATCAAGAAAGTTGTTCTAGATTAATACTATTATGAACGCTGTTTTTATAAAATACCATCAAGAAAGTTGTTCCAGATTAATACTATCATGAACGCTGTTATTATAAAGTACCATCAAGAAAGTTGTTCCAGATTAATACTATCATGAACGCTGTTCTTATAAAATACTATCAAGAAAGTTGTTCTAGTTAAATTATATCTTGAAAAGTTGTTTTAGTGAAATACTTTGATGAAATCTATTCTAGGTAAATACTTTCATGAAGACTGTTTAGTTTAATACTTCCATGAAAGTTGTTCTAGTTTAATACTATAATGAAATTTGCTCTGATTTAATACTTTAATAAAATAAATTTAATATAAAAAAATGTTCTGGATGAATCTTGAAAAGTTGTTTTAGTTAAATACTTTTATTGAAGCTGTTCTAGGTAATTACTATCATGACTGTTGTTATTGGTAATAACTAGCATGAACGTTTTTCTTTTCTTTAATGCAATTAGTGGAGTTCTAGTTAGATATTTATCATTTGCTATATTAAGTTCGACATCATGTTGTCGACTGTCACACTGTTTGATCAGTAAAAGTGAAATTGAACACATTTTGTTCGGTAGATTCTGAATGATGCCAGCTCTCACTTCAACATAAATCGAAGATTGTTGTCTTACAAAACTGAGTAATGTACATATCTATGACGATGTTTGTTTCCTCAATGGTGTATTGTGCGTATTCTAACTAGGGTCAGGATGTCCTCGCCAGTTACAGTGAGATAATTATTCTATTCTTAAGCTAACTTTAAGGATTTGTTCTTTGTATTTTAGAGGAGTTAAATGACCTTTTTCCCTCTGTTAGGAGTTCATTTTGTACATACTTCATTCATCCAGTAAACTGCAAGTCGGTCTATATATTGTACAGTCACAACATTTCATAGTGCATATGTATTTTCTTTTTACAATATTAAATCGATACAATCATAATTATGGAGTGACTAATTGATGGAACGCATGTAATTTGTCATACTCCAGTAAAACAATTCTAAGTCGAAGAAGAGAACGCAGCTTCAAACAACAACAAAAATAACAACAACAACAACAACATATTGCCTTAACATTGCTTAAATCTTACTAAATTAAATAATATTTATTTCACCGTAACCAATTGGCTCATACTAAAAATCTATGTTAAGAATACAAATGAAAACATTAATGGTGCGTGTTATAAAAAAAAAGCTTTGATCGTTTACCTTAGCTGACGTCAAGCAAAACATTTTGTTTTATATACTTTAATACACATCGGTATTAAAAGCTCGTGTGCTGTGCTCAAATATTTTAAATGTATTCACTTAAAATGTTAAAGGTTCAAATATCGTTATTAAAAATCATAAATAACTATATAAAATAAACGGCTTCTTCTGAAAAAGTAATATAAATGACCATGGGTCTGAAGCAGGCGAGGACAAAAGGGATTGGACATCAATGACATAGACTAAATTTGAGGGTTGTATTGTGTACCTCAAAATGCCAGGGAATCCCCTTACTTGCGTAATCACTAGGCTGGTACTGGTACTTTGAAGATTAGAGAGGAACGACACTGACTTCAAGGATCAAACTAGTCCACTTGTATCATCCGATTTTTCCAGGGGTAAAGAGAAAGAAAGTGAGGTCTGTCTCTGGGGTAGCATAAGTGACATTATTTAAATATTGCAACAAATAAGATGTGAAATTTAGAAACAATCTGGAAACACAGATCCAAAATGATGTTGATCCTATTTAATTAGATTCGACCTATACTCCCCTATTTAAAGATCGTAGATACGGGTCCTTTGGCGTTCTTGTTTCTATATACAACAACTAAAATTAAAGATGTTATTTCATCTGTAAGTCGTTTAAGATGAATTTGCGAATAAATCTGAACACTTAAAATATTACACACCTAATCATACCATTCGTATATTATTTTACTTTTCTTGTGTTTTTAGTATATTAGTTACTTAACACTTTGTTATCAGTTCTTACATATTTCTTTATAGACAGTGGTTTTTATTTATCATTTACCATAATTAGCAAGTTAATAGTTATACTCAGAAATCACCTACTACATTTGTATCCGTACGCATGCTAATAAATACACGAACCGCCATCCTGTCCTGTGGTACCTCAATTGATTAATGATGACCGGAAATGGGCTCCATTCAGTCGGTCGATACTCCGTCATATAACAACAGAGTGGTCACCAGGCCACACACTACTCTCAATAGTCTACTGACTGCTGCTGTTCCACTGACGACAGTACAATGAATGTCTGCCTCTGGTACCGCATACTTCTGATTGCCTTGTTGCAAGAATTCATCGAATGCAAACATTCTTCATTTGCATTGCACCAACACGATACATCTAATCTTAACGGAAATTATGCATTCTTTACATTTCAAAATATTTCATCACTACAACAATGTGCAAAAAAATGTCATTTTGCCGATGACTGTAATGCATTTGTCTTTCACGCAGATCAGAGCGTTTGTCAGTTTGTACAAAACGGCAGCTACCCTTACACGGAATTGAAGTCTGTGTTTGCTTCTATACCGCCAGAAACAGAATTGAATTCTGTATCTGTTTCTACACAGACATACACAGAATCGAATTCTGTATATGTTTCTACACAGTCGAACACAGAATTGAATTATGTATCTGTTTCTCCGTCGCCATTGTGTCATTCCATGTCTTCTTCGACCCCATCCGGTGTGTACAACATCACACTGGAATCTGGGAATGTGATGTCCGCTTACTGCGACATGGACACGCTTGGTGGAGGATGGACAGTCATTCAAAAGAGGTATGACGGGAGTTTGAACTTTTACAAAACTTGGGAAGAATACAAACAAGGATTTGGAGATCTAAACTTTGAATTTTGGCTCGGAAATGAAAACATGCATTTGTTAACGTCGTCTGGAAGTCATGAACTCCGTATAGAGATGGAAGATGTCGACGGTAATGCTTATTATGCCAGCTACATCTCATTTTCTGTAGACGGGGAAAGTTTCAAGTATTTGCTAAGTGTATCGGGATTTAGTGGAGATGTGTTTAAAGATCAGATGCTGTATAACGACTTTACCAGATTCTCTACAAAGGACAGCGACAACGACGACTATTCTTCACAGGATTGTGCCGAAAATTTACAGGGTGGATGGTGGTACGCAGCGTGTGGAACAACCAACCTGAACGGAGCGTATAACCCATCACATAGTAGTGATGAGACTGCGATGCACTGGAGAGAACTAACAGCTACATCTCCGTATTATACCACTCTCAGAGCGTGTAAGATGATGATACGCCCTGTGACATAACTTATACCAAACATACAACATCACGGCTGCATCAGGCTGTATACAATGCATGTGATACGTCGCTCGGAGCATGTAAAATGATGGTAGAGAACGCCCTGTAAATGCACTTTAAATCAAGCACATCACATACATCACGTGAACTTTGTGATACTGCGGCACACTTATAACATTTTTGGTAAAAACATTGTGTGATAGAATAAAATGGGTAGAGCGTTTGTTTATACTTCAAATCTGATACGTTAACGACGGTTGATGGTTTCTTAAACAGTCGCACTATGTCAGGGAAGAGAAGAGGTATCAAGATTGTTTCATCGCGTAAAATAGAGCGTTTTCTTTACGTCAATTAGATTATAAATCATCCACAAAATAGGTCAATAATTTTAAACTAAAAGACTTCACATTTAGATGTAAAATATTTTTAAAAATTGTTTATTTACGTGTATTTAATACAAGGTAAAACACACAGGCTCAATATTTGGGAACTATGGGACGTGCTATTGAACAAGGTTAAACATTAATTTATTTCTGGAAACTATTTGACGTGTGTTTTATACAAGTTTGACATACAGGTTCAATTTTTGAAACTATGTTACACATGTGATTTGTACAAATTTAGATCTCAAGGTTCACACTTTCCTACAAGAATTTTTTCCAGTTTATTTACATATAGTTATCAGACCGTAAGTAAATGGCTGGCTTTGTGAATAGCCTTTCCTCCTTGGTATGTCTGCTGCTTCTAGAAAAGTTGTAAGAAAGTGTACATTTTCATCTCGGATCCGCATCGTACAACATCATATTTGCTGTGGATTGAAGTTTGCATGGATTTCAGTTTCGCTGTTTGTTATCGCTATTTCTCAGAAAGCAGTGTTTTTTCTCACATTATGTACACATATTCCTATTTTAACGTTGCTGTGTAACGTATTTTGTTGGTGGATATGAGAACTGTTTGACAGCTACATGTATGAAGCCATCTTCGATTACAGATATAAAGTTTGTAAACTTTGTTTTGCAGAAAAGAGAGGCTAGATCTGTCTCAACCTTTAGCACACACTCCCTCTAGGTGCTTACTCAGGCAAAATGATTTCTCAGTAAGTTTAGGTAATAAGAACACTACTGCCAGTGACACATTTTGGATATTAGGTCCAACGTTTGGTATATATTTATACATCTTTCCTTGGTTCATATTTTGCCCAGTTTTATCAAGTCGTTTATATTCTATTGTTGTTTTCCCACACAGTTTCATTTTCTTTTGCTTTGAAAATCCTGTAATAATTCTAAATAGCTCGTGGTGATAGGCGTACATTGAGTTATTTCATATAATTGTATATAGGTTTTTGGTAGTTTACTGCAGGTACAATTTTACCTCATTATTACATAAATATTGTCATCGACATATTCATTCAATATGTACAAGTCTTGATAAAGTCTATAAAGTTAGTGATTATTTTATGTTATCTTTTGTATAAAATGTTACAGTAATCATACGAACAATTTATCTGTTGGAGCTGTTGATAAATTTTGCATCATAGGAAAAATAAACTAGTAAAACGTTGATGTCAAAAACGCTCAATTTAAAGTTTTGTATAGCTTTGATGATTTGTATATTTTGTAAATTGTTATTGTAAATGTGCTTTATAATTGCAACCGATGTTTTTGTTTTTTTTTATTGATTACATAGCAAGGAGAATGTTGACATAATTAACCGATAGATGTGTTTGTTTGAAGCAATAGATCATTGCTATTTTCATCATTTATAACATTAAGCATATTTTCCTTGTAATGATCAATCTTATAAGATTGAAATAAAATATTTCTTGAATTGAACTGCTCTGATCAGTTATCAGAAAGTCCTGAAGCATTGAGCTCCTTTCGAATGGCAAGGATGGATAATATAACTGCCAACTGCAGTACAAAAAATGAAGGGCATTTGCGACTGTTTATTTATTTAAATGTTCAATGGTTTCCCTTATGTATGTGTATATATTGGTCAAAAACGGGACAAACTGGTTTATATCGCAACTCTGAAACACCAGTTACCGTGTATAAATATCGATGTATTTAGCTTTACGAATTACGTACCTGTAGTATTCAACGGGAAACACGATAAAAATATTCTTTTTTGTACAAAGACGAACGTGATGCTGTTCAGAAAGTCCAAGAAATAGTACTATAAACGGTGGTGCGATATTCTAATGAAGCCTTGCACGATAACAAGGTTTGTATTTTGAATTAATAATGTCTTATTACAATGCCTCTTGTTTGTTTTTATCTTATAAGACTTTAAAAGCTGTAATCAATCGTCATAGTCATATAAATACCTTAGTACATAGTACATGTATAAAAATGTCCAAAACTGAAGAACCAACCACAAATTCTTCTAAGTTAAGAGTTTAAAGTATACATTACAGATATAGCAAAGAGTATAAACTTGATACTTCTAGTACTTCATTTTGTGCAGTTAAATATTGAATCGTTCACGTGTTTCATATGAAAATAAAATTTAACAAGAATATTACAAACACACAATTTAGCAAATTCACTTGGTCAGGCTCTTCCGGAGACTGGTGGTACTTGTGTTAACACTCGATGACAAATATTTGGTTTGATTCCAATAATTCCTCAAATGTAATTGCTTAGAAACGAACAAATCAAACCGACATTCTACAGTAGAATCTCATTGCTGACTTTTGACTGGCGGTCAGTTAAACGATTAATTCTTCTATTCATTTGTCAAGGTTGAAGTCACAACTCCCACATTTCAATACCACGGATAAAGCGTATCGATCATAAATTTTAGATAAAACAGATAACACATTATCATTATAAGCAAACTCGTTATCCCTAGACTGCTGATAATGGTATCTTAACCACTTTCTGTTTGTAAAGAAAGAGACGCTGTTGAATTAGTGTGTCTAAAATAAATGTTTGAAAGTGTTTGACACACAGCCATTAATGCCTGTTTACAAATACCGTTACGATTAATTGAGTTTATTCTAATATTGTAGTAGCCTTAATGGTGTTTGCACAGTTGATTCAACACTTTAGAGATTGATGATTATATCAGATATGTCGCATGTGTAAATATTGTAATATCATATGACTGTATTTTTACCGTTAACAATGTATGTTCTAATGCTGTGGTGATGTTTTATCCGATATTTTGTATCTATTATTACTTACTTATTGTTATTTGCATGTGCTTCAATACAAATTGTCTTGGGGGTTTTCAATTTCAAATTATCCTGTCTAATTGTCTATTGTAAACGCCCCCCAGTACCGATATAAGACCTATGCATAATATATATATATATGCAGACATTTTGGTTTTATTTTCTATACGTTATATGACTGAAAATTTGATGGAATATCTTTGTTTCATTAGGGTATGAAAACATTGTTTATTTGCAAATATTGTTATTCTACACGCGGATGGTTTTTTTTTATCGTCATTGTTAGAAACAAATAATTAAATACGGTAAAAATAAAGTATGGCAAGAGGAAAAAAATACAGCGTGATTATCCGACCTTCACTTTGTAGAATAAGTCTTCTCAAAGTAATCTCAACCCGAGGGGTAATATTCTCAAGTTGTCAAACACGAGGCTTGCCGAGTGTTTGACAGCTTAATAATCTTACCCCGAGGATTGAAATCACACTGTCTCACTCCCAAGGGGGTGAATGATTATTTTTCTCTTACCCTGTTTACCCTCTTATGTATTTTATATAGACATTACATCAATGCAAGACGATGTTGATGTGATGCGGCTGAATTGTCGACGTGACGTCATTGTAGTGTTGCCGTGACGTCATGGTATTGTTGCTATGACATTATACAATTGTTGAGAACGTGCAAAGAACACGTGTAGCTTGTCTCAACCCTATGGTGAGATAAGAAAATCTCACACCGGTAAAATGGTGGATATCCCAATCCAGGGTAAGAGAAAACATTGTCGTTGACGTTGCCAAGTAGCTTGGAATGCTAGCTAACGCATCCTCAGCTAATGACGACTGTCTTGATTTACCGGTCTGATGATTTTTGAGGGGAAATGTATTTGTTTATGCGAATATCAGGTTGAAAACTAGTTAAGAAGGACAGAAGTGTGTGGTTACCGTTTATTGTTGTGTCTTGCACGGTCTCTTAAACATGTATTAAGCTGAACAACAAAAGATAGGAGGTTTTTCAGAGAAGTATGAAAAGAATAAACCTATCAACATGATTTAAATTTTTGGTATTAAAACAATAAGTAAAAGATGATACAAATATGGTAGTCGCTATTTTCTGCTTATAGTTCAGCATTTAGGGGAATGGCAACAACTGGTTTATCCGCTGTCAGTATAATTAGACAAGGCAAAATGCTGTGCTGGATATGCTTTCGGCATGGCATTTCATTGAGATAGCACTGTAATGTCGGTATAAGATCACCAATATACCCTGCATCCGGCATACATACACGCATGCATACAGGCACGAAACACATGAAGGCACATCCTCAAATGACCTTTGCTTATGAAAGGACGTTAACCCCTGGGCAACCAACCAACCGTCAGACGTCTTACCGTGCCCTAGATGGGATTTAATAATGCCATTTGTGTTGCAGGAAATGAATACCATTTAAATAAATCCTGGTATCGTCCTCCTCTGTAAGGTTGTTCATGGTAACTGTTCTTTTATTGAGACGTTTTTCTTAGTTTCTGTTGTTATCATTTGATGTGCAGTGTATAATGAAATTTTTGCGACAGCGAAAACATGATTTGTAGCAAAGCTTTTGGTGGGATGGGATGCTTTAATAATATTGGTACAAAAGAGTCAACTACGTGTAAAATAAAGAGTTATTTGTTAAATGCTGCTGTTTGATTAATATTGTAGTTCACGTTTATCCATATTATTAGATCAAAGCACACCGAATGGCTTGAATGTATATACAGGGTAATCGATTATCTATACCTTCTTATATCATCAAGCATTCATCATTTCCTATTTCACCAAGACTTAAGGTTAAATATACAC